TTATATTACAGACAAACAAAGCTCTCACACATTAGGTATTTGAAATCATCTTCAAATAAATACAAAAAAAAAATATTACATATATATGATTTATAATAAAAAATCAAATTACATGAAAAATACAAAAAAAACATGATTTTTTTGTTGATAAATTTACTGAACTAAAATCGACTACAAATGACTATATTATACTACAAGTCCTATATATAGTCATGACTATACATGACTACATGTGACTGACTATATATGACTAAATATAACTGTATATTCACCTAACTCAAATCACCCATGTAAGTAACCACAACTGGTTAAATTTTTATTACAGACAAACAAAGCTCTCACACTTTAGGCATTTCGAATCATCTTCAAATAAATACAAAAATTTAAATTACATATGATTTATAGTAAAAAAACAAATTAATCCAAAGAAAAATATTTTAATATTAACTGTTCACAGATCTTCAAAAACATAGTAGATCTGGTTTTTTTTAAATAAATACAGTATAGGAAGAATAGAATTGAAACCCCCATTGTGTTATGGGTTGATTATATGGAATATATATAGAGAAATATTGCAAGGTAATAGAGTTTGACTAGGTAACTAAATCCTAACTAATCTAGGTAACCGAATCATACTAGAATCCTTATATTACAAGACTTCTATAATATAGTATTCTCTAATACGCCCCCGTAGTCGAAACGTGACGAACGTGAAGACTGGACAATCACTTGCTAGCACGCTCCCGCAGTCGGAACGAATAAACTTCAAAACGAATAAACTTCAAACGTGAAGACTGAAGACTGGAAACTTCAAACGCGAAGACTGGACAGTAATCGCGAAACACATCGCTAGAGAATTCCTCTGTAGAAATATCTGTCCAATTGATAAATAATAATAATAATAATAATAATAATGGGTGAGAATAATAAGCACTTTTTTTTTTTTTAATTATCGAGATAGAGAGAAGAGATGAGAGATGAGGGAAGAGAAGAATTCAAAGAAAGATAGATAAAAGAGAGAGAGAAGAGATTAAGCGACTGGGAAGAAGAAGATGTCGGAAAATAAGAAGAAAAAAAAATATAAGTTACCACCACCGGGGGAGGGAGAAAATTGGGGTGGTGGTCGCCGGCCATGGAGAAGAAGAGAGGCGGCGGCTAGGTTGTAGGCCATGGAGAAGAAGAAGAAGAAGAAGAAGAAAAAGATAGAGAAGATACACCACCGAGAGAGGGAGAAAATTCGGTTTGGTGGTCGCCGGCCATGGAGAAGAAGAGAGGCGACGGCTAGGTTTTAGACCATGGAGAAGAAGAAGAAGAAGAAGATGCACCACCGGGGGAGGGAGAAAATTCGGGTGGTGTTCATAGAAGATAGAAAAGAAAAAGAAAAAATATTAGAGTACCACCACCGGGGGAGGGAGAAAATTGGGTGGTCACCGGGAGAAGAAAGACGGCTAGGTTAAAAAACCTGGTGCTCTGATACCATATAGGAAGAATAGAATTGAAACCCCCATTGTGTTATGGGTTGATTATATGGAATATATATAGAGAAATATTGCAAGGTAATAGAGTTTGACTAGGTAACTAAATCCTAACTAATTTAGGTAACCGAATCATACTAGAATCCTAATATTACAAGACTTCTATAATATAGTATTCTCTAATATACAGTAAATATATACAAATCGAACATCACCAATTCCAGATATGAAATTCACCATTAGATCTGACACAATATAAAATTTTCGAATTCAGTTGGTTTCATTAAAAAAACAATAAAATAAGGTGAAATAGTGATAAGAATTCAGATCTTCAAAAAATAAATAAAAAATGGATTGGCTCATAAATTAAAAAAATAACTTAAAAAAGTTAAGTGAATGGTTTAGTACCAAGTTCAAGGCGGTGGGAGGAGCAACGACGGCCGACACAAGGCCGTGGCGGAGCAGCGGCGCAAGACTTTGGCGGAGCAGCGACACAAGGGGGTGCGCGGAGCAGCGGAACAACCGGTGCGGAGCAGCGGAGCACGACGGAGCACGACGGAGCAGCGGAGAAGGCGGAGCGACGGAGAAGGCGGAGCGGCGGAGAAGGCGGAGCGGCGGAGAAAGCGGAGCGGCGGAGAAGCGGAGAAACGACGGTGGGAAGTGAAAGAGAAGAGAACAAGAATTTTGAGAGAGCGAGAAGAGAAAACGTGGGAGGAGGGAGATGAGAAAAGAAAACAGCTGTGAGAAGGGAGAGAGAAATTAAGGAGAGTTGGTGAAATTTAGCGTTTTAAATTGTAACTAAAAGGGCAAAACTGGTATTTCAATTTGTCTAGGGGGGTCTATCAAATTAATATTAGAATTTGAGTTTTTGACTATGAAAGAAAAATCCATAGGACTTTTCCCTATATATTTTCAAAACTAGGGGGTTATCCCTCATTTTCCCTAAATAAAAAAGTGGGGTAGAGGTACTTATTTAAAAAGATCTTATCTGCTCTCCAACAACTTATTTTAAAAAAAATAAAGATCTTTTTCTAAAAAATTACCAAACACTTTGGAAGAGCTTACAAGCTCCAAAACATCTTATAAGCTCGTTTTAGCATCTTATAAGCTTAGTCAAACACTCTCTTATATAGGTGGAGATCCATTATATTAGATTAATATAGGTGTAGATTAAATTAAATTAAATTATTAGTGTATAGACATAGATACCCCCAATTAATATTTATATGCAAATAATTATTTTAGAAATTGAGGGAACAAATCTCTCACTCTCTCTCCTCTCTACACGGTCAAACACTCAAACATCTCTTCCCTCACACCTACACGTCTCTCTCTCTCTCTCTCTCACACACACACATATATCTCTCTCAAGGCAGCTAAATGAAAATTAATTCTTTATTTCTTTAAAAGAAATTATTTAATTTTATTTACATAAGTATTTTATAGCAATCTTCAATTATTAATTTTATTGTGATCATGTGTGTTAGATTTTAGTTGTTATAGCAATTTTGTATGTACTGGACAATATTGCATTTTTTTTTTTGCATTTTCTAATTAGTTTACTTCAACAAACAACAAAATAAAATAAAAAAAATTGAACAACAAAATAAATTTGCAACATAAAATAGAAACCTGCAAATTGCAACTTATAACTGAAAATTAAATTGTAAGATTATTATATGATGTGCATAGTAAAAAGAACTTGAAACAATAAAATGATTGTGAATCATGAAACGATAATTTTTTTTGGCGCTCTAGAGGACCTTGTACATGTTATCAACATGAACAAAAATGGATCGTCGTTCTCTTTTTCTGTGTAAATACGAGTTGACACGCTCTCACGAGTATAATATTTATCACACACAAGTACTGTCCAGTTCCGAAGTTTGACAATAGGACATTCACAATAATGAAGTGGAAAAAGAAAGTAATGAAAATCGCTCATATTCTCACACCGTGAACTTTTTCTCCATTAATATTGATTTCACGGACGTCCGTATGCATTTAATATTGTTTTTCCTTTCTTCGATATTGTTGAACAATGACTTGATCCTTTTTTTTTTTTTTTTTGCAAAGCTGTTGAATGTGAAACAAAAAAAATGATGATTGTACGATACAAAACAACTAATGTAATAATTACTAATATTAACAACCACTAATTACAAACTGCAAATATGAACAGTGAAGGCAAACTGTAAACGAAAAATGATAAAGAATAAAGTACAAACTGTAAATAGTGAAGTATAAACTGTAAACTCTCAAGTATAAAATGCAAATACAAACAGTTACTTATGAACAGTAATTAAACTAAACAAATAAAATAACAAACACAATGCACTTCCAACATAAACCGAAAAAAATAAATGATAACTGCAACTTTTATGTCTAATGCACAATTTGATGTACAGATAATTTTTTTATATTTACAAATGAAGAAAAAATATCAGTATGTACACTACCCTACATCATAGCATGTAGAAATGCAACAAAAAAGAATAGCAAATAAAAGTTCGACGTACAACGACTACATCGACAATTCTAGTAATAATTAAATCGATAATCCCTAGCAAAAAATAGAAAATAGCAAACAAAAATCAGAGCAACAATTTTCAGACTCTGGTATTTCACCTATTTTCATTCTCGGGCTTGCTAAACCACAATTTGCATTCTTCAGACTACCTAGCTAATAAACAACAAACCACGATTTTCATTTTTCAAACTACCTAAACTCAATGGACTATCTAAAATACTTAAAATATGCAGATTTCATACAAATGACACTCAAACTCGAAAAATTAAATCGATAAAAATCACACGTAAACAAGAAATTCAAAATGCAAACTGCAAAACCAAACTTATGACATGGACAAACCCTGAATGCTATATCCGATTTCGGTGATTCGTAGTCGTCATCTGGGTTCGTTTTGAAAAATAATGGTTTTTGAATGAGAATCGAAAATTTTGGATGTATAAATTGGTGCTTACTGAGACTCATACATGTTTGAACCGTCGTTATATTTTTTGGATGGTTACCTAGTGTATTTCTCTGCGCGTTTGTGCAAGCACTGAGATCATGAGTGGAAATCTCAAACACCAAACAAAGCAAACAAGAACAAATACTACAAAATAGCTACCAGAGTCTCCTAGATTGCAAACAAAACAACGAGCAAACAATTACCGGCAAACAACAAACGAAATTTAGGAGATTGCAAACGATCCGAGCGCCCTACTATGGCATTCGTGATACATTTTTCGGCTACAGTTCTTTATTTCTCAATTCGGTTTTATGGATGGGTGGCTACTGCTATTCTTTTGGGATTTTGGGGATTTGAATGAATCGCTAATTACGGATCTTTTATTATATAGAGTATATTTTTAATTTCCATATAATGTTAAGGGCATTTCAGACACAATAAAAATAATATATTTAATAAAAATAGGAAATTATTAGTTGAACTCTTCTTACGCATAAAATCCAGTATAGGAGAACCTATTTGCAAATTGGCCCTTAAAATAATTTCTTGAGTGCAGGTCAATTATGTTTTAGATGTTTCTGTAATGCAGCGCGGAACCGAGCCACCATATTTAGTTTGTAGGGTTGTCCTCCCACACTAATCCAGCGAGTGTGCTACTCACCGCCTCACTCGTTAGTGTTTAATTACGTCACACCTCGTATAATGTTGTAGCACGCAAGGATTAGCGCGTGATAAATATATATTGGTGAAATCTTTGCCCTAGTCATCTGTCAGGAACCCCTCTCTCTCTCTCTCTCTCTTCTCTCTTCTCTCTCTCTCTCTCTTAAATCGACCATGAGCCACCGCCTGCAACTCCGACCAACTGCTTCTCATCACTATATCGGTTAATTATCATTGAACCAGTACTGATTTTGTTATTTCATCATCTTTCAGATTCGACGGATTTGATTTTTAGGGGTAGGTCTTTTTTCCTTTCTGATGTTTTTTTGTTTGTTTGTTTGTTTTAATCATAATCATTCCAGCAACAGGTATTATAAATAATCTTAATTAATTTGCGTTATGTGAAGGTAAAAATGGAACCCATGGACATTGTTGGTAGAACAAAAGAGGATGCTTCCCTTCCTAAAGGTTTTGCCCTATCCCCTATTTTGCGTCAAAGTCCCGTAACCCTATATCTGAAACTTGTACATAATTACTTCTAATTTGTCTTTTTCTTTCTGTAATTTATGGCATAGAGTGTGAGTTTGGTATTCAAGTGTTGTTTAATTTTGTTTTCTTAAGTTGCGTACATACATTAACAGAGTCTTTCTTTTACTTCAGCTTGTTTAGGGCACCATTTCTTGTGTTTTTCTTTTCTTTTAATAACTCATTGTAATTTCCGTAATCGAGTGGTTTTGTAAGTTGATGTCCGAAGGCACTAATTTATCTACGGATAAATTGCCTAACACACTCATAGGCAATATGGATTTTTTGACAGAAATGTAGGGTGAACTCCATAACTAATTGGCAATAATGTCTAGGGGAAGTTTTCTGCACAAAGACATGTTTGTATAAAGGGCAAGATACGATAAAATCGTTGTCTTTGTGAAGGGAAGATCTGATTATTAAATCCGTGGTCGCTCAAATTGACAATATATTGAAGTCTTCAATTAAATTAAGCGTTGCTTTTCATTGATTCTTACAGTTTTGAGTATATCATGATTGTTGATACAAAAATATCGAGAAGAGGAGCAATCGTGATTATCTGGACACTTAGAGGACATTCTTTCTGTGATATTATTGAAGCCCTAGTGACTATATATTTTGTACATAAATTTAATGATCTCTAGTTATTCTCTTTCAGCAACTATGACGAAAATCATCAAGGAGATGCTCCCTCCAGATGTTCGTGTCGCAAGAGATACTCAAGATCTTTTGATCGAGTGTTGTGTAGGTGTGTATTTTTGTCTTTGTTTTTGCTTTTGCTTTTGCTTTTGCTTTTGCTTCTACTCAATAAATAATATATGTTCACTATTGTCCTACAAAACTGGGCAAGTACTCCTTGACAACTGTCTCTACTGTTTTTTGCCATTTTATTTTTTTATTTTGTTACCCTGCAAATTTGTTATTGATTTTGAACATCAATTATTTTCGATATTCAAGATTTATTGAAATGCTTGAACTTGAGTAAGCTAAGCACAAAACTCTGATGTAAATTGCTGACATAGTAGAATCCCTAACCTCGATGAGCAAATTCGTGCTCCATATTCAAGAGACTATTGAATGTTAGGCGTTTATAACCACAAAACTCTGATGCAATGTATAGTTAGCATCTTTAGTTTCGTGCACATGCTTCATATGTGAGAATTAGATGAAGTATTGTTGTGCACATGGGTTAAAGTATCCTGCATAGCAGGCAAGAAAAAGGTGGTAGTTATGAAAGTATTATTGATGATTAACAGTTTGTGATGTGAAACGAGTACTTCCTAACCAGTCATGATTCTGGCCATTCCACTTGTCAGCAAAGCTCTCACGTAAGAGATGCAATCATCAAAACCATCCTATCATTCTAGGCGATGCTATTCACCAATCATAGACTCTCCATCATCCATTCTGGGAAATGAATATAGTTAGAATAAATACTTGCAATAGTGACTTGCAAAGATTGTCGAAATAGAGAATTATGGCTCGTAGGTGATAAATAAAACATGGATGGAGATGATTCTCTGATGGAGATTCAGGATATATGAATTCAAGCAAGTTCATTACTTAGTGAAATGGTGCCATCGTCTTTCTAGCTAAACTAAATCAGTTGAATCTTGTTTAGTAGCAAGAACCAGGCTGAAAAGCTGTGAAAGAGAAAAAAGTTCATTGAAACGAAAAAGCTAATGATCTCTTCTTTTTTTTTTCCCCTAAAATTAAGAGACGGAATACAGCAGTATGTAGAGGGTGATGAAATAGAGATACACCGGCTTTATTTCATCTTCTGGACTTCAACGGGGTATAATATATGTGCATTTATAAATGGATCATGAGAATATCCGCCAGAGATTTAAGCACTTGTCTTGATGAATCAGTTTCTTTTTCTTCTTTTTTTCTTTTAAGTTAGTATTAGTATTCAGCCACAAAAATTGAGAGAGAAAAGCCCAATTGGCAAAAAGTTTTGATGGGATGATATTGAATATCTCAAAAGCCTCTTTCTAAGATCAATTTTGTGTTTTGGAACTCCAAGAAATGATGATTCAAGTCTAATCAAATGCATGTGATGTATAACGATAGTTTTGACTTTGAGTCGTATGAAGTATATGATGCCACAAATTGTTTCAATTGATCTCACCATCATATAGATATTAAATATCACGGAATTAGTATCATAATATTTTATGACGTAATTTTGTCCTCTGCTTTTTGAAATTTTAAGATTATTATTGTCACTTCAGTCTCTATCCCATCGTAGTATATTTCCCAATTTGATGTTTGATTTGTAAATTTTTTTTTTTTTTGTTTCTGTTGCAGAATTTATCAATCTTATTTCATCAGAATCTAATGACGTCTGTAATAGAGAAGAGAAAAGAACAATTGCACCAGAACATGTGCTCAAGGCATTAGAGGTTCTGATCTCAATAACAATTAATTTCTTGTCTTTTCTTTCTTATCCTATCCATTAATATGACAATGTTTGTTACTAGTAGTTCCTATGTACTTGTAAGAGGTTTGTGCTGAATTTGTCGTACACACATTCTTTGTTACGACCCAATTTTATTAAACATGATCTGTTCTCAGCTGTAGTAGCGCATATCTTATTCTAGTAACAATTTAGGAAAGTAATATGTAGAAATGGAGAATTCATCTTCTTCAACAATCACACGTGAATGAATGAAGGTTTTGGTTCAATTTTTTCTTCCTCTCTCTATTCTCATCTATATGTGTGGTGAAGGTATCTATCTCGAGCGGTTTTCAAACCCAATCGCCCGCCCTCGAACCAGATACTGTTCTTCTCCCATTAAACAAAATGTTTGTGGAATTGCCAAAAAAGATGTTACGAATAATCATTTTGTCTTCTGTGCTATTGCTTTTTAGAGTAGGCATACGCATAATTATTTTTCAATATCATGTAGTTTCATGATTTAACAGAGTTATTGAATATCTGATTAAGATGTTTGTCTTTAGTTTGGCTGATGTTACTTGTCTCCAGGAAATCGTTGCATGTAGAGTTGATTTAGTTCTTTTTAGGTGTAACATGCACGTTTGATTCATTCATCATGATCTATCAGGTTCTTGGATTTGGGGAGTATATTGAAGAAGTTTACGCTGCATACGAGCAACACAGGCTTGAAACAATGGTATACCCCTCTCTCTCTATATATATATATATACACATAACAATATATGTTGAGGTTGTTTGATAAGATGGTTGGTATGTGGGAAATGGTTTGTGACAGGACACGATGAGAAGTGGGAAATGGAGCAACGGAGCTGAAATGACTGAAGAAGAAGCATTGGCAGAGCAGCAGAGGATGTTTGCAGAAGCACGTGCTAGGATGAATGGAGGAGGGGCCTCGGCCCCCAAGCAGTCAGATCCCGAGTCACAACACCCAAGTTCAGATAGCTAACTTGTCTAGATTCATATTCATCAAACTCTTTCTAGGGTAGGCCTCTTTACTCCATCCAACTTGGTGCTTCTATTCTCTACTTTGCCAGACTCTTCTCCTGTATCTGTAACCCGATATATATAGCTGTAATTAAAAAGTTCTCTCTCGCAAGATTGTGCTTCAGATATCTTCTTGTTACAAGTACTACTTTTATGTTACATCTGCTACGACTTATAAATTAGTGTTTAAACACTTCAACTCACCTCTTGCATATGATGCTTAAGGTCTCGTAGATGTAGGTGAAATAGGTCGGTTCAATCGTTTAAAAAAGTACAATGATAAAACTAATAAGGAAACATGAATTCTTCAGGGGTCCTAACATTTTTGATGAGTTGTAACTATCAAACATGAATGTTTGTTCGGCTTTCCTTGCAACTAAGGGTGAAAACTGGAATGAAATTTTCAAATTCCTTTGATTTCATTTTTATAAAAAATCGTTTGTTCAAAAATATTTTTCGTTTCGAATTCTGAAAGTTTTGATTTTTCCAGATTGTTTTGACTTTTGGATTGGAATTCTAATGCATATTAGAGTTTGATTTTTTATCGGATTCTAATTTTAAAAATTCCTTCGAAAATTTTCAATTTACTTATGAAAAGTACACTAATAATATCAATACCATTATGTTATTTTATATTATATATCAGTAAAGAATTAGAAACTTAAGTGTTGGATGGAGGGATTTGTTGGAGGAATTTCAAATCCATAATAACAAATCCCTTGGACTTGTTTGGATTGTGGGATTTAGAGATGGATTTCAAATTCCTACACCTCCTTTTTAGTTGATTTTGGAGCAATAGTGGTGAATAATTTCAAATAGCTTCAAATTGGAGTCCTTTTAAATCCCTTCCCCAAATCAAATCCCCCTTCAAATCCCTCCATCCAACGCACTCTAAAATTCCATCAATTATGATCCGATTTTATTTATTTTGGAATAATTGTTTTTTCATTTAAGTTATCGAAATTTTGATTTCAAAAATTTCCGATTACAACTTTTTGGAATTGAATTAGAATTAGGTTTCCACTTGTAGATTTTCTTTTTCAAAACTATTGCCTCCATTTTCACTAAATCCTATTTTCGTGGTGAAAGAGTGGATTTTTCTTCTGCCGGTAGCACACTATTCTACAATTTCACTATTTAAGAAGAAATAGTGTATTACCGACCCTCATTAGGAGAGTTGGTACCTAGCCTTTACCAATAGGGTAAAGGTCTAGGGTTCGAGTCCCCCCATCCCTACTTCCCCTTGTAATAGACTTGAATTTACTCAAAAAAAAAAAAAAAAAAAAAAACAAATAGTGTATTTGGTCTCCCACCAATTCCATCAAATTCTATGCGAAAATAATAAACTTTTACTATTTTGCTATTTATAGAGAATATGATTTGGTTTCGTCTCCTACGGCATTTCACCAAATATGTCACAAATTTATGTATTTAATGTTAATTGTTATATTTTATTTTCAAAATCTTGATTATATATCACATGTTAAATAATAATTTTATTGATTATATAATTTCAAAATTATGATAAATTTCAAAAAATTATTGAAACATGAATGAAAATCAATTGAAATTATTATACATATAATAAAACCACACAAAAACAATAATTTCATAAATTATTGCATAAAAACATTACAACACAAATAATAATAATAATAATAATAATAATAATAATAATAATAATAATAATAATAATAATAATAATAATAAATGTATTTATCTTTTGAACACTAATTCATTAATTAACAGTAATATATTTACTATAAATATTTTTATAGGCTGGTAATCACATCAAATAACTTAATATAATAACATTTATTTGTTAATTATAAAATGGTTTTAGTGACACCAAATCTTGTTTTCACTTCTATATTTGATAGGAAAAATAGGATTTGGTGAACAAAATGGTAAATTAGTGGAACAGTGAGAGATTTGGTGAAAATATAGGATTTGGTAATTCAAGAGGGGCATAAATATGAAAAATGATCAGTTGTTGAAAAATAGCTAGTAAGTAGTCTAGGGATTGAGTAGCAACCATTTTGAATTAGTGTTGAACATAATTAAGGAGGTGGAATAATAATATCCATGAATACATCATCATCTATTATGCTATAATCCTTGTTCTTGATTTCCTCTAAACAATTCAAAACATGATCCATATTTGGTCTCATATCCCTCCCACTCTGTAAGCACTGAAATCCCAACTCCGCCACAGCAATCATCATTTTTGTTACCTTTTTATATGAACCAAACCCAACTTCTTTATCCACAAGTTCATCCAATTCATTGTTTTGTATCTTGTTTATAGCCATCGTCGACAAATTTATTTCGTGACGTTTCCTAGTAATATCAATTGCCGGCTTCGATGATATAAGCTCCATCAACACCACTCCAAAACTATAAACATCACTCTTTTCTGTAAGCTGATAGAACTCATTGTACTCCGGGTCCACGTACCCCGGAGTACCTTGTGGGCCCGTCGAAACATGAGTTACATCAGCTGGGAAAAGACGTGATAGACCGAAATCCGCAACCTTGGCAGTAAAATTGTTGTCCAATAGAATATTAGTAGACTTGATGTCTCTGTGGATTACGTCGGATGCATGAAGGTAGGCCAAAGAACTTGCGGTTTCAATTGCGATATTCAAACGGTTATTCCAAGAAAGATTTGAGCGGGGCCCGTGAAGGTGATCGGCCAATGTTCCATTAGGGATGTATTCGTACACAAGTAGAAGCTCCCTAGAATAGCGAGATGTGCATCCGTAAAGTGTAACGAGGTTTTGATGCTTCAAGCGTGTGAGTATTTCGACTTCATTCGTGAACTGCTCGACTCTTCTGTAGTGGTTTTCGTATAATCTTTTGACAGCCACAACGCGCCCGTCTGGGAGTTTGGCTTTGTATACGGCACCATAACCGCCATCTCCAAGTTCCCTTTTGGGGTTGAAATTGTCTGTGGCTTCTTCTAGCTCACTGTACTCGAAGATACGGATTCCAGCTTTTTTGAGATCTTTTGTTAAACATGAAGAAGAAGTAGAAGAAGAAGATCCAATATGGGATACTACTAGAGATGAACTCGCATATCGTTTTTTGTACCTGCGATGATACACCATGAAAACTATGAACATTACAAAGGCGCCAACTGCAGCTGCTCCTACTCCTGCAAAACATAATTATTTATTAATTGTAACAAATTTCTCAATCATAGAGCGCCGGATATTAATTAAGTAAACGAAAATAATTGTGTAGCAAAAGATAAATTGATATTGCTATATGGGGGTTACAGTACCTATTCCAATCTTGAGCCCCAAATTTAATCCACTGCCTGTGATACATTTAACCGAGGACAAAAAAGGGTTATAAAGAGATTTTTCTAACTCCATAAGTTATAATTAATGATCACCTGAAAAATTAGTTAATGAGGAAATGTTGTGCATTCAATTCACTAATTGTCCTTTAATTAATGATCGATGTGAAAACCAAAACAAAATGGTGATATGAAGAGATATATAATGAGGAATGATTTCTGAAATAATTTAACAGAGAGGTTGATTGACAAAATACGCGGCCTACCGCTACAGTTAGTTCTGCAATTGTTTGTTCCTAATTGCCATTGTAGAACAAATCCCTTCTTGAGAATTGTGGTGTAGTTCATTCTCAAAAGCTTATCGAGACCGTCATCCTCTATAGGAGCATTGACCGGGCCCCACCGGCAAGAAGCGATGGAATAGTTCCAGTGCTTGAGAAGTTCGACATGAAAAACGGCAAAAGAGTGACTGCTTGCATTGCTGGCACAATCAACGGCGTACGTCTCTCTATCGTAAGGAGAAGCGCAGTTGTAGAAGAAGAATAGATCTGATGTGGCAGGTCCGTAACTAAATGGAGTCCCGTCCACTGTAAAGTTACGCTGAGGAGTCGGGCACTGGATTCCAGCATCGAAAACGTTGGATTTAGCTAATAAAAGCGAATTGTTTTTGTAAAATATGTCTCGAATGAAGAAATCATCGCCGTTGATGTTGATCAATGGCTTGTTTTCATGACAGGTGACGTTGAATCCCGTAGATCGACAATTGGACGACTGATTTTGTAGTAGACCGTCGATCCAGAAGGGATGCCTTATATTTAATTGATTACATGAGTAGTTGTGGGGCAGACAAGTAGTTTTAGAACTTGTGGATGGTAATATTATTGATAGCAAAGAAATGAACAGGAATAGGATGGTGAGCATAGGAAGAGGCATAATTTTTACTTTCCAGTAATTAACTGGACGAGATTATTATTAATATTGATGCAAGGTAGAGAGAGAGAGAATAAGAATGAATATGATATATGGTTTGATAATAAGAATGAAAATGAAACGAGTTTCTTTTTTTTTTTTGGTTTCATTACTTGGGGAACTTTGGGAATTATTTAAAACTTGAAGCAACATATATGAAGAGGGACGATAACTTGTAGTAAAGTGTATAGATATATTCCAGTTATTGGATTATTACAATTTACATATAGTGATGAAAGAAGAAGAGTACGGCATATTAATTAATTTATAAATATTAAATATATAATGTTGATGGTCTAAGAGTCAAAATAAGACCATACTTTTAGAAAATGGCAACCGAAAAGAAGAGTATATATTATTATTAATGTGGGACAGCTATTGATTAATTGTCTCAAATTTGAATGGAGTGCAAGTTTTCAAGTTGCGGTTGGCAGTGGTACCGCCCAAAAATCTCATATAACTAAAATGACGTCAGAATACATGTCACAATGGTGTAATATTACGCGCACACACAACAAACAAACAAAAACAAATCTTAATGTATAGCCCGTTCTTCTTCTACATATAGAGTCATTTTTCTTGGAAAAAATGAGTTTTTTTAGGATTTATAAATAGGTTGTCAATATTCTTTATTTTGATGGACGGATTTTGAATAAAATATTAAGATTATTCTCTCTAGTGTCTTAAGAATTTTTCAAACGTATCGGAGTATTCCGTGCGTTCAACCCGACTTATCAATCTATTTTCACAATTAATCGTGACGTCTTCACATACCAAATCTTTTGTTTTTTTATAAACAAAGAGTCGCAGTTCCACCCCTTTGATTCCTTGTTTTTTGGATGTTTCGATCTTACTTCTACATAAGATATTGAGTCTCGAAATAAATTCTACGGAGTTCATATTAGTACGGGTGAATTTTGTTTTTCTACAGTTATATACAAAATTGTTTCTACGAACTAAACGGTAACGGTACATTACCGTTTTATAAAACTATTTTGGTCGGAGAGTTATAACCAAAATAATGGTTAAAATAATTACCATGGTGATGCCGTACCATACCAAAATACTTTTAATAATAAGACGAAGGGGCATTTATAGATAAACTCATTGTGGCTTACTTATTAACAAAGAAGTCTACCCATAAACCCGTTTACATAAAAGGACATATAAGGCCTAATGGTCTATACAATACAAAAATATCCGTCAAATTCTAATACACTTCAATTTCATCACTTAGACCCTAATTTAGGTTTGGGTACGGATCGGGTTTATCGGCCAATCAACCTATCTTTGATCCATTTTTCATGGCCGATAACCGATAATTAACCGATTCATATAGACAGGTCGATAATTTTTCGTCCGACCCATGTATAAATGAGTCGGTCAGTAGTTTTCAGTTTGCTCAAAAGTCAGTTGGCCGATAATTACCCGACCAACCGACCTTTTTAACAATAAAAACTTTTTTAAATATTTAACTGTAATTCTTATTTTTAAAAGTTAAAATAACATGTAAAAGAAGTCAAAAAATCAAAATAAAAATTTACCAATTTTATTTTATAATTTTTATTTCCTATTCTTCTTTATATATTTATTTATTGTAGAAATTAAGTAAAAAAGGATTCTTAATTTTTAGGTTAATATTTTTGGAACACAAGGTTTCACAAAATTTTGAATATCTTTTGAAAAGAACTTTTCATAAAAAGATTGATCGAATAACATTTTATTATTGTAAAAAAAAATCAATTATTATATGGCCACAACAACCAATCGACCCATTTTTTATCCAACAAAGTCAGTTGCTAACTATTATCTGACCCACAATGGTTCAATCGATAATGTTTTTCAATATTCGACAAAATCGGTAGATTGGGTTGGGTAGGTAAATGCCCGATAATTACCCGAGCGAACCCATGCCCAGCCCCGCCTAATTTAACCTCAATTTCCACCATCTAACCAAATTTGTCTCTTAATCCAATTTTGACCCCGATTTTGACTGATACCGTCGGTTACCGACATTGACTTTTTTATTATTTTTATTTATTTTAATTTATTTTTTATTTTATTTATTTTAAAAAATTGATGTTTGTCCCCTTCACCATGGTTGACCGTTGGTATTTGAAGTTCAATTTTCTTTTCGATTTTTTTTTTTGAATATTTTCCGCCACCACCGGTTTATCGATGCTGACTTTTCGTTTTCTTTTTTCTGATTTTTTTTCTTCTGAACGTTTTTTTCTCTTTCTCGATAAACACAATATATTACTATGTTACATAGTAATATAGTTAATATTACTGTCTAACACAGTAATGTTACTATATTAATGTCTAATACATTAGTATTCAAAAATAAGAAAATTAATATTAATGTATTACGCATTAATATTAACTAAAGGTTAATATTAAAAAAAAAAAAAAGCTTCTAAAATATTTTTTTCAAAAGACAAAATTCTAATAAAAAAAATATCAACTCTAGAGATTGGCGATCAGCGGTAGAAAAAAAATTACAAACAAAAAAGAAACTTCAAAAAAAAAGTCAATAACAGAGACGAGCGACGGAAAAAAATTCAAAAAAAATAAAAATAAAGAAGAAAACAAAAAAAATCTACATCGAATTCAGGGTCAAAGTTTGTGAAATTGAAGTTAAATTAGAGTTTACAATTATGAATTGGGCTTAAAGGATTTTTGATAATTTTGTCATAAATATTAGAGTTGGCTTTACTTCTTTTTTTCCACAACGAAGGAACCCACTCAACCAACCATATAGGTGGATTAGATAAAGTTGCACTCTTATATAATAGCTTGCAAATCATACAAGAGACGTATATCACACTAGACTAACCATATGTGACAAACTCGACCTAGCAATCGTTGGCAAAGAGATTTAAACCTAGACCAATTAACACATACTGACTTACTGCAACTGCTAGCCCATCACTTGCGGGATAGAGTTGCCTTCACTTGTAATACATATTGAAGAAGTGAGCTTATACTCAAAAGAGGAAAAAACACTTGAATCTAAGTTCATGGAGATGAGAGAAAAAAGCCTCTCATTAGGGTCAATCAATATATTATACCCTAATCACTTTTCAGTTTTCTTTTGATTTTCTTGAGTTAAAGATAGTAATAGGCAAACTTCCTTCCACAAAATATAGATAGTATTCTCGAAAATGAAGATACTTGTTCATCAATAATCTAATCAAACTCACACTAATTGACTTAGTTATGTAATCAATCTTAGCTTGTTCCAGTATTCATCCTATAGACTTATACTATGATCTATGATCACAAGCTAATTAAGTTACTTTTTTTATAAAGTCGCATAGTTGAAGGAACAACAAGTCGATATATATAATATATGATCAAATGGGTATGCAGCAGCATATATAAATAATGAAAGATAAATTAAAGAAGATGATTCATATAAACTGATAGTTGACGAGGGAGGAAAGAAAGAAACAAACCTGGATTAGTATTAGTATTAGCATTAGGGCATACAAAGTGATAAGAAGATGGTCCTCCATAAGTATGAGGGCAGAGGCACGTTGGTAACGACGACTGATCAGCTGAAGAATTAGTACACAAACCACCAGACCTTTCACATAACACACAATTACCAGTTTCATCATCCATTTCAACAAAATCCGGAATTCTAATATTCAATTCCCAGGCCTTGTTGGATTTTATATCCTTGCCATTTATTAGTGTTGCTGTTCAAACTTGAAACTATTCAACTTTTCCAGGGCGATGATGATTATTGATGATGATATGTTGGAATTGCAATTAATTATGATAAGAATTGCATTTAATATGAGGGGTTGCTATGTTGAAATACATAGCAGAGTAATTCAATGTTTGCGCTGCCTCTCTCACAAGTTGGGTTTGACAAGTAATAAATCTCTGTCAATCAATTATTGTAAATATATTATAATAATAATAATAATAATAATAATAATAATAATAATAATAATAATAATAATAAAGACGTCTGGTTCAATGGTTGCTATCTGATTACTATATGTTTACCCCAACACTCCAAACTCCAATACACGGAAAACCAGCGTGATTAATTGTCAATAAAAGTAAACAGAGATTATAAAAAAGCTATGTTAATCTATACCGGCATGGCGCATGCAATTCACCTTACATACAATTTACCTTTAAAACATGCTGATGCTGATGCCGATGATGATCCACCAAAAGATACAACAACTAATTTTACATTCACATCTGATGGCATCTATAAGTACATATATCAGCGTAAGAAACAGAATTCGCCTAAATTACGGATCTCCTTTGTCAATTGTCACATCAATTTTCGAGTCATGATTTTGGCTTCCTCTCAAAACTTCTACTGCTACTCTCTGCTGCGGCCAATTCCATCATCCTTTCATAGTCAATCTCTGTGGTTTTGTACTTGAGCTTGATTCCATTTTGCATCCATGATTTTACACAATGCAAAGCTTGTGTTTCGTATTGTGGTGTAGAGAATCTCTGTCTATCAATTTCATCACCCTTTGTACTGAATATGTCTTCAGGCAATACAGCAGTTGATTGCACTGCTAAGAAATCACGAGCCATCAAAGACAAGCGTGGATATCTTGAACTGTTAACTTTCCACCAATCAAGAACATCTGTCGGCATAGGCACTGGCGCTTCAGATAAATATTGTGTAAGTTCGTCTGTAGCAGAACTAATGCTTGCCCTTCGTTTCTTACGTGCAATTTCCTCTGCAAATGAAGCAGTTCCTCCATCTTCCGACACTTGATTGCTGTATGAATTGCTTATTGATGAAAAATAGCATGTCGAGTAATTTCTAATGAAATGATTTCTTGACTCCTCCAAATTGCTTTCTAAGTTGAGGTACTCAGGAATGAGTTCGACTTTAATCCGCGGATCAAGAATTGCAGTCATGTATGTGAATGCATTGCAAACCTGTTCACTGTAATTTTGGGCTTTGATATACATTTCTTCGGCTGCACTTTTAAGCCAATCTGGGGTTTGCCTCGAGTCTTTGCACGCCAATATTGTGTCGGAAATATGATCCATGAAGAAGAGAAGCATTCCAATTGTGAGCACTTTGTTTTTACATATGTTGTTAATGGTCTTATAGAAGGGCTCCAGATATTTATGCATAATATTAACGACATTTTTCTCGGCAGAGTTGAGCAGCAAGCGACTACCCAGTTGTTCGTCATACTTCCTGATAACCGTTTCCATAGACTTACCAGCCTGCAAAAGAAATACATCGTTAAACAAATATGACTAATTAAAACGCTACTGTTGTAACATAGAATCTCTCACTCTTACACTTAGGAAGTGTCACTTTCGTTAACATTAAGTAAAATCCATATGTAGACACTGCTCTAAGATACTATAAATTCATGATAAAGTATTACATGTTCAACATTCTCGAGTGCCATGTATAAAATCAACTTGCAGGTATATGTATGAAAGCACGTCATATGTAAAAAGGGCTACCACACAAGTCAAATGAAGCAACTTCTTGTTCATGATCAATTGATAATCTGCCGAATCAACATTTGATATTTACACACAGGAACTCCTAAAAGGTTTCAAGATTTCAACAGGGTGGCCCAAAAAATAAATTACTGAACACCATAACTGCAAATTCTACAACCCTGATCAGTATCTCAATTTCGGGATAGCCAGTAGTATCGACCTCACAAAAGACATCATGGGGGATTGCTTTAAAACTCAGAATTACTTTTAAATAAGTAAAAATTAATTTAAACATAAGACTGAAGTCAAAACATTTCAAAACGCAAATAAAAATTAGAGACAAGTCCTTACAATACATATAAAATTTCAAATACATTTAAAGTTACATGGATCTTACATTTGTTTAAATTGACATGGCAAGGATGAGTGCACATACCTTGCATGCAATATCAAGCATCTGGTAGCTCCCACTCCACCGAGCTGAGGCATCAAGTGGGAAATTCCAATTTCCTTCTTGATATGCTGCGGTAAATTGAACAAAATCTTCAGAGATTTCTGATGACGAATTCAGTTCCAGCACAAACTCCCTGATCTTCAAAATCACTGATTTTGTAGTTCTTAACCCATCGTTTATGATTGAGTTCAGAGTATGAGCAGCACATGGGATATAGCAAAAACCATCCAGTTTCTGACTATCCATATCACCTTTCAACGTATGACATGCATGCAATGCATTTGGACTATTATCATGGGTAATACAGAGTATTTTAGTCTCGAGATTGTACAACCTTAGGACTTTCAACAAAACATAATAGATTTCAGAACCCCCACAAGGGCTCGGAATGTGAGAAATATCAAGAAGAATTTTCTGAAAGGACCAGCTTTCGTCAATCCACTGACATGTAACACTCATGTACAGTATTTGTTCGTAAGAAGTCCAAAAATCAAGAGTGACAGAAACCTTGGAAGAAACTTGCTCAACAATCAACCTCACTGATTCCTGCATGCTTTTGAAGACTTCACGCAGCACTGTTTGGAACTTTTCTCCACTCCAAAGCTCAGTTGAAGGATTGAGGAACTTAAATGCATTAGTCAGCCATTTTTCTGCCAAAGTAGAAGTGGGAAGAGAAGCTACAAGGAGCCACTTAATGAGCAACCAGTTCAAGTGATCGAGTTCCATCGTAGGAACCTTAACAAGAGTTTGAGGTTTCTTAGCAACTGTGACAGGCTGTGGAGCATGACTGTTTGAAGAATCCCCCATCTTCTCATATCCTGGATGTCGATTGCTCAGATGCCTCCCCAAATTACCTTCACCAAATATGTCAGTAACTAGTCAAATTTCCGGTAAAAAATTTAACAGAAACTTGTTTCCTGAAAAAAAAATGCTCGATTGGAAACACAGTTTATGTGGCTGTTCAATTAGGTCAAAGACAAAGTATAAGCGAACCCTGCATGTGAACTAGAACCAACATCCGAATGAACAACAGACTATTTCTCGCCATCTACATGTGTCGAACAGTGAGATACTCCAGATGCAGTATGCACATATAGTTAACTACTCGAGGGGAAAGGGAAAATAAATAAATAGGAGAAAATTTCAGTTGAGAAAATAACCAGTTGCAGTGGCCATAGAATAGCTTTGTCCACAGAATTTGCACCTTCTACTCTTGCCATCAAGCGCTGTTTCAAAATATTTGAGATAAACAGAAGTCATTGTCTTTTTCCTTGGTTTAACACTATTTCCCTTCTCCATAGAACCCAAGCCGATATCAATTGGATCACTCTGTGGGATGATTGTTGTATTCATTACGTTCACAGACTTCGGATCCATATCAGCTACAAATAATAAACAGAAAATAATATCATCATTGACGAAAAAAATTAAAGTACAACATTTATAAGGTATTTGGTTGCAAATACATTTGATCTTGATAGAATGATTTTTTTCTGATATCACAAGAAATGTTTCCACAACAATATCTCTTTTGTTAAAAAATAAGTGTGAAAATCGTAGAAAATCTGCATGCAGTCACTATGATTAAAAGTGTGCAACTGCTGCACGTTCACTTGATTTTTGTTGCTAAACTTTTTTAACTACACCACCACATCCCAAAACCACTCTTCCCAGTGATATATATATATATATATATATATATATATATATATATATATATATATATATATATATATATATATATATACACACACACACACATATATGTGTGTGTGTGTGTGCATGAATTAGTACGGAACTTTTGCTTTTCCCAGCAAAATCACAAGGACATGGAAGTGTAAAATTTAATCACCATTCTTGTTGTCCGTTAAAAGACTAGGACTTAAAGAAGGAAAAATAACAAGGCAAGATAGTCCTGATCAGTGATCACCATTACAGTAGTCTTGAAGAGATTAACGTGAAATCACTATTTTAACAGCAATGGAAGTAAGCTAATTGGAGCAACAGTACCCCGGGTGGGTACCACACTTGGTTTAATAATCTTAACCGAAAAATAGAACAATCGCAACCGGAATAAGAACAATACAGAGGAGCAAATAATATGAGAGATGATAAATTCTACAGAACAAACGGAAATTTAGAAGGGGCGGCAATAAGAAAAGGCAAGCAATCAACACTGGTTTCATCACAAAAAGCCCCATTCAAAAATAAATAAATAAATAAATAAATAAAGAAAATGAAAACCTTTTAGGGACTGGTGGTTATTATATGTAGTGCTGACACCCCAATCCATCACATTGCCAGCTGCAGCTATTCCATGATCAGCTGCTCTCTGTTTTAATTAAACCCATATGTCAATTCAAAGAACAACAAAAACAACAATAAAATCAGATTCAGCGTTCAATTTCACATTTAGAGAGAGAGAGAGAGATTTGTACCGGAAAATTCATAAGCAGCGGCTCAGATCAAGAGCGTGAAATCCAAGGTCAAGTTTACTTATGGGTTTTAGATAAAACTGTGATTAAATAATTGAAAATGGGAAGGGGAAAAGGAAAAAATGGAAACAAATTCAACATCGGAGTGGATCTTAGTAGAAATTACCAATTGTGTGTACGAGTGAGAGAGAGGGAGAGAGAGAGAGAATAAGGGAAAAAAATGGAGGGAAGGATGGAGAAAGGGGGGAAGGGTTTGAAGTTTGATTACCAAGCTGAGATTTGTAGAGTGAGCCAGATCTCTGAGCCGCCTAATGGAAAAACAAAGAGAAAGGGAAAAAATAGCCAAAACGGAAAGAATGGGGTAGAGAGAGAAAGAGAGTGGAAGTCGAGCTGTTTGTCTATTTGGTAGAGCCGTCAGTCACGCCAAACCCCCCTTTTCTTCTCTCCTCTTTTAATTTCCTTTTTCTTTTTCAACAACAATCTTCTAAACAACAATAAATAGCTAATCCCTAATATAGCCTAGCAAAATAACATTAAATAGGGGACAAGGGTATAAACATATTTTTCCTTATTAATAATCATTTTCAAATTTTTCTCATAAAAAAAAATATATATCATTTACAAAGTAATTTTATTTTGTACAACTTCATTAAAATATGTATTTTCCATTTTACATTTAACTTCATCTCTAAAGCTCTTTGTGAAGCAAAACAATGAGCTATATCGAATTTGGGTTATTCGATATATCATTTTGGGCCTCGAAAAATTCATGTTTAATTTTGACATTGGAAATTTATAAATTTTCAAATATGTTTTAGGCGTAGAGAAAATTCAGATCCGTCCAAGTATTCTTTATCATTTCTTTGTGTTTTGAGGTCATTTAATGCCTTCTTTTGTATCGACATTGTATAATTATATGTTTTATAATTCGTTTTTGTTTTTCATTATTTCGGTTATGAGATGTTCATTGGCTGTTGTTAGCCTTTTGTTTTCTTCATTACTGATTTCCAAGTGTAACTTATGTAGAAAACGTTGATGACAATTAACCACAACAAATATGACAAAAAATGACTCTAAACTTGTGAAAATTGGCTAAAAATTATTAGTATTGCAAATTAGATAACATGACCATGAATTTGTAAACATTGAGTATTTTGAAAATAAAATATAAGTATAACAGTGAACTTAACAAATAAAATAAAAATAAAAAACATACAAACCAAAGAATAGGTATTTAACTTTCGAAAATTGGCATGGACTTTTGAAAATAGAGTATTTTAACAAAAGAAGAACATGAACTTTCAAATATTGGCAGCTAACTCGGAACGAACTTCCCATTTTGACCTTGAGAATTAGCACTGAACATGTGAATTACTTGAAAACTGACGGTTAATTATATTGACAAGGAACTTACAAAATTATTGGCAGTGATTTTTTCACAATGAACATTGGATACAAGGCACGCATCACGCAAGGAATTTTAATGACATGGGTATTTTTGTCACACTGTATGTTTTTTTTCCCAAAATCCACGCATGCTTATTATTTTTTCTATTATGTGCTGACAACCCAAAATGACATTTATTTTGGAACCAATGGAATAGTACAAGCTAAAATAGGTGCAATGCGTAAACTTCTACTGTTATTGCAATAACATTTAAACCGGCCATATGAGAGATGTAAATTACACTAGGCATAAACTCTATGTGACAATCTTCATCTATAAAGCCTTTGCAAGTGAAATTCGAACTAAGATCATTTGACTTCATGATGTCTTGCTCCACCAACTAGGTCACCCTTACGAGTAACTACACTTTCACAATTTTATTTTGTCGACATAATTAAGTATTAAGTACATAATAATTTGGGGAAGATGATTTTAATGCTCATTTCTAAAAGGAATGTGTTGTCCATAGGCGTGTGAACGAGTCGAGTTTGACAAATTTGGCGAGATTAAGCTCGAGCACAAGTCGAATTTCAAGAGCTCATCAAGCTCATTTTGTTAAAAAAATTATTTAATTTTTGTATTCACATTATGTTGGTGTTATAAATTATATATATTATAATAAAAATTTACAAAATAGAAATGAACTCAAATTTAATTATTTAATTTTGATATGTACTCATTGTACATAGAAATGAGCTCAAATTTATACTTTCATTAGTTAGTTTGTTTTTTGAATAAGTGAAACAAATTTTAGAGGTGATTTTTGTTTTCTAATTAACAATAAAATTATTAAAAAAAAAAAGAAAAAAGAAAAAAAAAAGACAGGCACAATAGAAATGACATTTAGTGTTCCTGAAAATAAGGAGGGAAAGCAAAGGTTTGGACGTTTGAAATCCACTTGGCACCAACATAACTAATCTTTTTGTCTCCCTCTCTCTTTTCCTTCCTCTTATCATTTATCTTGTTAATTCCCATTTCAAATCCCTCTTTGATACTTTGTTTCTCCATCAAACTTATTTCATCATTCCTCCATGAAATCACACACACTTGCAGTGGATTTCAATGAACACAATACATATTGGTAATGTTTCTTACTTTATTTATTTATTTATTTATTTATATATGGTCATATGATAGTCCAAAGGAAATATTTACTTCTATTCATATATATATATATATATATATATATGAATATATATATATATATATATATTATTAGTTCATCTATTAATAAATAAATAATTTATGCAACTGCAGGTAATTAATTACGTCAACGCTTATATAATGAATGATCCTTGGTATCCCATGTTTGATTGAAAAAACAAAACAAAACCAAAAAAAAAAAACAACAAAACAAAAAGGGGTTCCTCCCTTATTTGAATTCTGGAATCTTGAAGGATAACAGCCTGAAGCTTCTTGTGCCTTACAATAGTCTTTAAATTGCTTTAATTTCTCTGCACACACACACACACACACAAAGTTGATTAATTAATACAATAATTAAATTGACCACTTGTTTATAAATATAATAAATTTGGTTTGAAAAAATAATAGTTGTAAAAAAATGAAGAAAGAACATATGCATCATCATCAGCAGGAAGAGCATCATCAGCAGCTAATACAATCCGCCATGCTTCACACATCACAAGCCTATCTTCAAAACCTGGTTGTTTATTTCCTCTTTTTCGGTTCGGGTTTAGTCATTGGGATTACACTTAGTTTCTATCTCAAAGACATCCCTTCAAATCTACAACTCAAGCAATTCTCCTCCTCCACCACCAGTAATATTCTAGCACGACCACATCTCGTTCATCCACCACCACCACCACCGCCAGCCACAATCATACAACCGCCACCGCCACCGCCGCCGGTTCGTGGGGGAGGATTGGAGGAGTATTTGACGACACCAAATGTGATGCATGATATGAAGGAGGAGGAATTGATATGGAGAGCATCAATGAAACCAAAGGTTAGGGAATATCCATTCAGACGTACACCAAAAGTAGCATTCATGTTTTTGGCTAAAAGGGATTTGCCAATGGCTCCTCTTTGGGAGCTATTCTTCAGAGGTCATCAAGGCTTGTTTTCCATTTATGTTCATTCTCAACCATCCTATAATGCTACCGTCCCTCCTGATTCCGTTTTTTATGGCCGCAGAATTCCCAGCAAGGTATCCTCTCTCTCTCTCTCTCTCTCTCTCTCTCTCTCTCTTTCATTCTCCTTTCAATAATAAACATTATTTAATTTATATATCTTTTTTCGAATTTTATTTAAAATTTTGAATTCTTGAAATAAAGGTGTAATTAGTTGTGATCTATGAATCTGGACGTTGGAATTTCAAGTGTCTAATTAGTTGTTCATAGTTATGCCAATGGAATTAATTCAGATTAATTACCATTAATTAAAAAAAAAAAAAACTTGTGGACGCCCCGGAATGAGCTCTAATTAATTACAATGTGTCGGTTGTTTAGTTTAATACTTCCTTAGTACTAAGCTAGTTATTATAGATTTGTAATATCAATATCTCACTTGACCTCGTAAGTTCCAAGTCAACTCTTTACTTATAGACTAATTATATATAAATTTAGACTAAGATCGTACCTCGTATACTTGTTTGTTTGATTAATTATATACATGTCTAGATTCTGTTGGTCGTTTCGTTACAAAAGATAGGTTTTTTTTGATACAAGATTAATGGGAATTAATGTGCAACTTTTTGATGCACATTTCTTTGACTCCACTCTAGATATTGCATATATAGAGCTGTCCAACTTTTTACCAATTCTTTTCTTCTTTACAACAACTCCAAATGGGAAAAATAGGTATTGATGCTCTTCATTAAGATTCTCTATACAACAAAAACATAAAAACATAATGTTCCATTTCAATAGGACAGACGGGAAAAGGATCGATATGATGAAGTATATATTATTTCAATTTTCTAAAAGAATAAATCTATAATTTTTATTAGTATGCTCTACATTGTTTGCATTTTTCTCTGGATCAATGGGATTTTAGATAATAAAAAAACAACATAAGAATTATTCGACGATAATATGCAGGAGGTAGCATGGGGGGAATTCAGTATGATAGAAGCAGAACGGCGTCTATTAGCAAACGCATTACTGGATGTATCAAACCAAAGATTCGTCCTGTTATCAGAGGCATGCATCCCACTTTTCAACTTCAAAACCATATACAATTACCTGATGGAATCAACCACCTCGTTTGTGGAGTCGTACGATTTGCTGGGCCCGGTGGGCCGAGGCAGATACGACAGCCACATGATGCCTTACGTGACTTTGGAGGACTGGCGAAAAGGGGCACAGTGGTTCGAGATGGATAGAGAATTGGCCGTTGAAGTAATAGCCGATCGCATTTACTACTCTGTTTTTAAAAAGTACTGCAAACCCGCATGCTACTCCGACGAGCACTACTTGCCAACCATGATCACCAAGAAATTCCCGACAAAGAATGCGAACAGGACTTTGACTTGGGTTGACTGGTCAAGAGGTGGGCCCCACCCTCTGAAATTTATAAGGACGGATATATCCCCGGACATGTTGTACCGGATGAGAACAGGGAAGCAGTGTCTCTACAACGGGAATCCCACAAATGTTTGCTACTTGTTCGCCAGGAAATTCACTGTCAATGCTTTGGATCGCCTGCTTAGGTTTGCACCAATGGTCATGCACTTCTAGTTCATTCTCATAAATCTTCATCATCATCTATATATATGTGTATGTATAGTTAGTTACAAGGATGCTGGATTGGAGCAACATTTTTTATTCTTCTAGTTCATTTTTTTGATCCTACATTAATTCAACTTTAAAGACATGTTTTATTTTGTGTAGTTTAGAATTAAGTGGGGACATATGTTCCAAAGTGTATGGAACTGAAATTATGCTTGTGTTAATTGTTAGATGCTTTCACAAATTTGAGAATATGTGGTAGACACTCTACTATTTATACATTCAATAAATTTCTTCCATATCGGAGCAGTTTAGAGTAAACTGCAAAAAGTACCCCTGTGTAATCTTTAAATAGCGAAAACCCCCTTATGATAAATAAACTAGTAAAAACTCCCCTGTGAAATTATTTAAATAGCACACTCGGCCCATTACTCATTTGAGGGTTGACTTCATATAAAAAGACCCAAATACCCCCGGGATTTTGCAATTAATAAAATCTTATATTTTTTAAATATTTTAATTATTTTATTTTTGTTATATCTTAATTATAAAGGTACAATGGAGACTTTAATTTATTTCTATTTTTATTATCATATAATTTTTGTATATATTTTAAATTATCCCTATATCAAAAGAAAACTTAAATTTCATTATTATGTATTTAAAAAATATATACTTAATTTTATTAACAAATTTTTAATAATTTTTCAAATTTACTTAATTACTATTTTTTTAACAATATTTTAATTTTTAAACAATCAAATTAAAAAGAAAATATATATACATATAAATACATTTTAAGGGTCAATTTCGTCATTTCACGTCCAAAAACCAACTCCCAGTCGCACAACCCGCGAGTGAGCAACACACAAGTCAACCAGGGGGGTTTTTGCCTTTGACTAAATTTCACAGGGGGGTTTTTGCTAGTTTATTTATCACAGGGGTTTTTTTGCTATTTAGAGATTACACATGAGTACATTTTGCAGTTTACTCGAGCAGTTTAATTTGAAGTGAACGGAAAAATCTTTTTTTTTTCTTCTTCTATTTATGTAAGCATGAAAAATATAGATATATTGCAATAATGACCAAATATATAGTTTGGAAGGTCTATGATAATCTGCTTAATTATTCATAGGAAGGTCTGAAAGACGAATTCAAACCGTAACCATACTGCTGTATTTTGCTGCCTTGAATCTACGCGTCCATATATCGGAATAAACAAAATAATTAAGCTCGTATGAACCTTAATTATTAGAACTTTAATTTGTGACAAAGCCTGCTTTGCGTCTTCTGTCGAACCAACATGAATCATAATATATCGAACATCCATTAAACCCGTAGCGGGTTATTGAGATATTATATCCACGTATTTCTTAAAGACTTTGCTTGCAACAATTTATTACTTTTGAACACATGTTAAACATTCCACGTACACTGAATGGCCTAAACTAAATATTATCCAAAATATTCTATTTTACAAAATAATTATTTTGTGGAAATTTTTTTTTTTTTTTTTTTGAGAATTTGTTTGTGGGAAATTTTCGAAGGACTTCAGTGAAGAAAACGCACTGGTAAATAAGGTCTAAATATATATATATTTAACTGTCGGAGACAGTAATTTAACTGTTAATTGACTATTTTTTTTTCTTCCAAAATATTTTAATTAATATTACTGTCTTTACTCTATATATATATATCTGTCTCTATATATATATATATATATATATATATATATATATATATATATATATATATATATATATATATATATATATATATATATATATATATATATATATATATATATATATATATATATATATATATATATATATATATATATATATATATATATATATATATATATATATATATATATATGGGAAATATGCAATACCCCCTCTTTTGGAAAATATTTTGATTTAAACCCAATTGACTTTAAAGACTTTTTCCATAACCCAAATTCCAATTTAAATTAGTGAGACCCCTCTTATCAGATATGGTAAGACTAAAATACCCCTATGAGTTAGGGTTTTAATTTTATTCCTCATTTTCACACACACTCTCCCACGTTTACTCTCTCTCTCTCTTCTCTTTCTTCTTCTTTTTTTTTTCTTTTTTTTCTTTGCAGAGCTCTCTCTGTTCTCTTTCTTCTTCTTTTTTTTTTGTTTTTTTTTCTTTGCAGAGCACAACCGCCGCCGCTATCCACCGAGATTTATACCAGTGCGGCCGTTCTCCTTCGAGATTTCTACCGGCATCGCCGCCCTCCTCCCTTCTTTACGCACCACCGCCATTATCCAATCACCCAACCACCGATCACAGCCGCCGCCTAGGGTTCTGCCGTCAAACCTCCCCAAAAACTCATATTGTCGTATGCGTATGGATATGTGGGTCTGTGTGTGTGTTTTGTATGTGTGTGTGAAATATTGCAACTAAAAAGTGTGTGTGAAATGTATCCGTGTGTGTGTGTTTTGTATCTCTGTGTGTGTGTGTTTTGTATATGTGTGTGTGTGTGTTTTGTATATGTGTATGTGTGGCACTATTTCTTCTTAACTTTGTATGTGGGTCTGTGTGTGTGTGTGTGTGAAATGTATCTGTGTGTGTGTGTTTTGTAACCGATTCGACCGATTCGACCGATTTAGTTGAGTCAGACGGCGGAAGAGAGGAGGCGACGAAGGAAAACTCCGATGTGCAGAGTTCCGCCAGTAGATCGAGGAAGGAGGAGGGAAGTGATAAGGTGCGCCGCGGTACTATGAGTGGCGATGAGCGTGAACACGAGGATCAATCTCGTGCCGTGAAGGAATTGTCTGCCGAATCACAGCCGTTGGCTGACTTTCTGCAGGCTATCCGGGCTCATAAGCTCGGCTCTGTCTTCGAGCGGCGGCTCCGGAGTCAGGTGACATATTCATGTTCATTATTCTTTTTTTATTTGCAAGATCTTTATTTATTTTATTAGTTTATATTTTTTACGATGATTTTTTGTTTTTTCACAATGGTTTGGTTTAGTGGTACGGTGCTGCACTACAATTGACGTGCTTTATTTATTTTTCTTATTATTAATTTAAAGATTGTTGAATATGATTATAGTCATATTCGAATATGTTCCATTTTATCGTTTCATGTTGACTTTTAATAATATGATTCAAATTGTGATCTTATTGTAATTTTTTTTTTTGCGTTACTTGATATGTTAGTGTAAGTTTCAATGTGTTTGTTGTGACTGAAATAAATTCACATAATATTATATGAATTGCATTTAAAGAATAGTGCAGATTCATTCAGCAGAATTATTCACATAGTAGTCACATTCTCATGTTTTTTGTAGTGCTGCACATCATGTCGCCAACCTTGATGATTATGTTGAAGTATGGAGGGTCGTTTGGGGTGAAGATATGCCAGGGTGATTTTGTGTATGAAGACCTCGTCAACTCCCATCCCTCTCTCTCGTTATTTTTCTATCTTTATTTATGTATTTTTCGATTTTTTTTCTAGATCTGAACAGAAGTAGTAACATTACTAGTCATATTCGAATATGACTATAGTCATATTTATGTATTTCTCGATTTCTCTTTTTTTTTTTTTTTTTTTTTTTTTTTTTTTTTTTTCAGATCTGAAAATTGTATTTTCAGATCTGAACAGTAGCAGTAACATGACTATTGTCATATTCGAATATGATTATAGTCATATTTATGTATTGTTTGAATATGATTGTAGTCATATTCGAATATGACTATTGTTGAATACGACGGTAGTCATATTCGAATATGTTCTATTTTATCGTTTTGAAGTTGACTTCTAATAACTAGATTCAAATTGTGATTTTTTTTGTGTGGATGTTGATTGGATTGTTTTCGTAAACAATAAGGAACCTTCGTTTTTTTATATAATTTGGTGAACATGACTATACCACACTATATAATCGGAATTTGTTAAGTTGAAAAAGTGAAAAACTGCAATATAAAAAATAATATGACTACAGTTAATATAGTCACATATAGTCATATTCAACTATAGTCATATTCGGCTTTGTAAATCTGTCGAGAAAAGAATTTCAATTTTTTCTTTGAAAAAAAAATTTTTAAAAATATATTTTTATTAAAAAAATATTAAAAAAATAAATAAATAAATAATGGATAAATAAAATTCGAAAATAATAAAAAAATAAGAAATAAAAAAATCATTTTTTTATTTGGTAGCAAATTTTTAGGGATTTAGAAGCAAATTTTAAGGAAGGAATTAGATTATTGTTATGGAAAGAGAGAAAAAATGAATAATTGAGAATAATTATGTTAATTGACATAAGGGTAGAT